GACAAAACAAACAAAAATAAGGGAGTTTGTTAAAAAAAAAAAAACTCAATTTATTTTATATGCGATTCAGAAACCTTACCCAAATGATGAATTCATGTGAATTAGGAAAGAGTTCCTACACTGTAATCTCACCCTAGCATATGGCTCTTAGATCATCTCCCGTTCAATTTATTCAGTTATTGAACATTTATGTCAGGCACTAAGAATACAAAAACAAATGATTCCTCCCTACCCTCAATGTGCTAACAGTTTCCATATTCTCATATCTTGAGCTAGTCCTCACTTTCCAGACTCAACTACTTTATGTGTAGGAGTTTCAGATAGAAAAGTAGCACACCAACCACTAGTTAGTGCTGACCAAGTCAGTTCTACCACATATTTACACAAATCCACTCTCTACACATGCATGTAGCAGACACCATGCCAGGCTAAAGTTTTGTGTTGTTTTGTTTGAGGAGAGCACAAGAAAATAAAAATTGAGAAACATAGCCCATCTTCAGTGTTTACAGTCAAATAAGGGGGGCTGACAATAACAAGAGGTCAGGACACTACAAGTTACATATAGTATATCAAGTGCAAGGGGAACAAAAAGCAAGTAACTGCTTAGGAAAGCTGAGAAAGATATCACTCAGAAGATTACAGATAAAGCTAGGTCTTACTGAAAGGAGAGTTTAACAAGGATAGCATCATATGAGATCAGAGTTGAGCATCTCTCAGAAGTATGGAATACTCATCTGCGATCAGAGCATAAGGGAGAGTAGTGGGAGAGAAGTCTGGAAAAGTAATTCACATTCTGAAGGGCATCCTTACAAACCACCTAAGGAGTCTACCATCCTCAAATGAGCTTTAGAATTTTTAATTTATGTTTTAGAAAGCTCCAACAATGCAGGTGATGGATCAATAAAAAAAAAAAAAAAAAGAGTCCATTGGAATTTGCCTAAATTACGAGTTAAAAGTTATCTGGCCCTTTCCCTACTGAATAATTCAACTAATAGGATATTTGCAAAATTCCCCAAACTCTAAAATCTTTACTAAATGACAGCAGTATTTCCCATTCTGTGTGTGCACGTGCATGCATACTATCTACTCAACAGATAATTTATTGTGTCTTCTAGATGCCAGACACTAGGAATGTAATGAAGAACAAAAACAGATATGGCTCTGCCTTCATATTATGAAAGAATTTCAAGGGGAGGGTTATGAGTGGAGAGTCTGACAAGTGTTAGGTTAAGAGAAGACGGCTGGTGAAGTAACACTTGAGTTATCACAAAAATACGAGAACCTAAAAGAGCATTAGTCTATTTCTTTCAGCTACCAAAGGAGAGAACTCATAGGTAGTGAAAAAGACAAGGACTTGACGATCCTAGGTTCCAATTTCATTTACAACATCCATAAATTAAGAGGTCCTGGGAAATTAATGTAATCCCTGCTTGAATAGAATTCCATCTCCTCACATAGTGGCTGTGAGAACTGTAAGAGAATGTACTTGTAAAAGTACCCAGAGCACAGTGCCTGACCAAGAGTAGGTATCCAAAAAATGTTCATTTAATTCCACACTTTCTTCACCCTTCAAAATCAGACTATGATAGAAATATTTATTTTCACAAAAGTAAATTATTTTTCCCAGTTTTCCTAAATCAAGTGCCAGGGATCTGGTAAAAGTCTTTGGCAGCTGAAAATTTGGCTTATTCTCATATAATCCTGGAATAAGAACATAAAAAAAAAACTAATTTATGAGGGAGATTTTTGAGAACACTTTTTAATCTTCTCAAAGTGCTTCCAACTTCTACCAAGTTTATTGCCAAAGAAAAAAGAAAGGTATAAATATTTTTTTAAATCTAGGGAAAAATACAAAAAGCAGAAAATCTAAGTTTTAAAGAACATCGAATAAGATAGAACTATGTATGTAAATAGTGTTTCCTCCTCCTAAAGCCCATGGCTAGCATAAATTAAAACACATACAACAGGACCTCTGGAGGAGAAAGAATGAAAAATGGCATCTAAGTTTCACACAAAGACAAACTGATAAAAGGCAATTGGGGGCCACCTACTATCAGTAAATGCAACAATTTCTAAAAAGGCATTTGGAAAGAAATTCAGCTGAGACAATAGTTAATAGACTGATACAATTTAATGTTTTAATTCAGTACTTGTTTAATTTTTATTGTTTAATTTTTATTCTTAAGTTTATATTCTAATAAAGTACTTTTCTGTATTTATATATTTATCTACCTAAATTCAAAGCCTGAATATATTAACTTACTAACCAGGTAGAGTTTATACATTCAGATGAAATAATTTTTGAAACAAGTCAAATTATAAACTGTAAGATTTAGCAGACCATCGATTCACAACCATCTCTGTTTTGCTTCATCTTTACATATTATTTTTAATAGCTCTTTGGTAGCTCATAAACTAAATCACATATAATTTTTACAATGAATTAAAGTTATCCTAGATAAAAACACTGCATTTTCTTCCAATTTTCTAAAGCAGCTCTGTTCTCCATAATTGTTTCACAATCTATCCATAATCCCATAAGTTATCGCCATTCTTTGACCCTTTGTCTAGCGGATTTGCACACAATTCAACAGATAATATTGGAGAGTAATATTGTAAAATAATTTACAGGAAATTTTTTTTTTTTAGTTTTATGAGTTAAGTAGCCATCAGCTGGAAAGAGAAGTAAACATGTTACATTTTTTATCTTAAACACTAACACCAATATTGATTGACTGTAAAATTGGTGTTTCAATATAAAACATCTTGCACTAAGAGTTGAGATCTGAGTTTTGGCTTAGTTGACATGCTATTTATTGCTATGAACTTTTGTAAGTCATTTAGCTTTTCTAACACTTAGCATACATATTTAATGAATTATTAATTAAACCTCTCACCACACACACACACACACACACAGCTATAGCTCTGATTCAGTTATATTCTCCATAACAATATTGTGTCCAATGTATAAAATGAGAAAGATCCATTTCAAAAATAAAAGGCGTAACTTAACAGCTAGCAAAATTTCTAAACATGAGTTTTAACTGCAACTTTTTCAAGTCAACAACTATTTATTGAGTGTACCTGGTCCCTGTGAGTGGAAAAATATTGCAGGTAGAGGAAGAACACAAGGAGGTTGGGGGATTAGAAACACTTTGCATATGCCCACCACAGAAAATATTAATGTAGCTACATTAAAAATGTATATGTGGGGAGGGGAGAGGGGGGACAGTGGCAGTAATTGTGGTAAGAAATGACAGAGGTAATTAGCAGCAAAATTACACAGGCTCTGTAGGCCCTATCAATAAATTCAGACCTCTTCCCAAGACCAGAGAGGAATCATTAAAGGGTTTAAGCAATGGTGTGGTGGTATGATTCAATTTCTAATTTTGAAAACTCCAGTGCACAGGATAGCAAGGCAAGACTGGAGACAAGAAAACCAGTTAAGAGACAGTCTTGAGATGATGAATTAGAAGGCAGTACAACAGTAATTAATAGGAAAACTTCTGCAGTCAGTTGCCTGCATTCGAATCCCAGATTTTCCACTTACCAACTTGCTGTTTCTACCTGTTTTCTCTTCTATAATCCAAAGATAAAAAAATCTTCACAGGGTTATTGCCAAAGAATAAAATAATACTCATAAACAGCATGATGCCAGGCAGAGTAAGAATGCTAATGTTCATCATTAATGTATTGTTAGTGGGCAGAGAAATGAGAATAGTAACTGGAAGATGTTTAGGAGACAGAAATTGACAGTGAAGATATAGGACAAAAGGGAAAAAAATTAGACTCTAGTTCCTGGCTTGAATAATGGCTCTATTTGATGAGATGAGAAACACAGGTGGTTTGAAAGTTCTGAAGGTTTGAAAGAGAAAATAGTGTTCATTTTTTGGTATGTTGATAGTGAGAGACATTCCAGCAAGCAGGTGAATGTAGTACTCTGAAGTGAAGAAACACATCAAGGTTGGAGGTCTGAGAATCTGAGCAACAGATGGTAATCTAATCCATGGAGGTTGGTGAGAGTCCCTGGAGAAAGGACACGTGGGATGAAGAAACGCTGGCACTAGGGAGAAGCTATGGAACAGCAACATTAAAGGAAGCCTGCAAAGGACACGGAGAGAAGGCGGGCCGAGAAATAAGAGAACAACAGTGAGAGAACGCAAAACCAAAAGAAAAAAAAAAGTGTTTCAAACAGAGGGAAGTGCTCAGCAATGTCAATACTGTGAAGCAGCAAAATAAGGAGTTTTCACTGCATCTAGCAACAAATTCTTCATGCACATAATAATGTCATGCACCAGGCCTGGAGATGCAGTAGTAAATAAGTCAACAAGAGCCTTGCACACACAGACTCTATGTTGTGAAGATAGAGAGTAAACTAGTAAACAAAATACTTATTTTATTTGAAATAGTAAAGTGACATATATACGAGAGAGTAAAAAGCAGACCACTTTAGTGAGTTTGGGAGGGCATCTCTCTAAGGAGGGAATATCTAAACTGAGACCTAAAGCAGGAAAGGGCTCAGCATGGTCAGAGAATTGAAAGAAGCCATTAAGGCCACAGCATAACAGTGGTGGAGGGATGGAGAGACAGAAGCCAGACATGTTTGTAGATTATGCTGAGGGCATAGTGAGAAAAGTTTAGATGATGACTGTTAGCATGTAAATAGGGAAGTTAAGGTCACTGTAGCTAATAGCACTTAGTTGTTTGCTTTTTCTCATTTATACTAGCCTTAACACTTGGGTTGCGGGTGAATTTCCCTTTCAACCATTAACTGTTTATTACAACAATATCAGAATAAACTTTTCTATTTTAAAAAACATTATGATTATAGCATGCAGTTACAATCGGCCCGAGTTTACACGTTTCCCGCACTCCACCGCAAATCTATATGAACCGAGTTTAAGACGGCTCCCGCGGAGTACGCGCAATTCACGCGAGCCGACTTAACTCGTTTCCCGCAACCCAAGTGTAATCAGAAATAGGACATGTGACCACTCTTTCAACCATTAACTGTTTATTACAACAATATCAGAATAAACTTTTCTATTTTAAAAAACATTATGATTATAGCATGTTACCTCTAACATTAATATTACTAATCCCCTTTTAACTGTCCATATTTCTTTCAAGGTATTTCTCATATCTGCTTGATTCTATGACTAAATTATATTTCTCTGGAGTATTTTCAAGCAATGTACATCAGAATTTGAATATAACAAGAATCAGCAAGGTGTTACTAAAACCTGATGAAATTCATCAGAAAAATTTCCATAGAGTTTATATTCTATCTTAGATTCCTACCTCCTTTATATATTTATATACATGTATATCATAGATAAAAGTTGATGCAGAAAACATTGGCTTGATTCTGAGCAGCTGAATTATATGTTCATAGTTTTTTCATTTCCTTATCTGCAAGAGGAAGAATTTATGGCCCTTTCCTATTTCATAAGAATATCAATAACATAAAATGCTATTTACTTGATATCTATTATCAGGCACAGAGGTAGGAACATTACATAAATTATGTTTAATCATCCTCATACTAAGACTGCAGAGGCAAAATTTAAGCCTAGTTCTATAATATCAAAAAATTGGGTCACTAAACCATGATGCTTCAGACTATTAACAGATTGAGTTTCTTAAAAATACCTAAACGATATAAGTTATTAAATCATAAACATGAATTTTAAATAACAAATGTCATTTTATTAAATTTTTAATAAACTATGTACAACTTAGAAATATTTGCTATACACACCATTCCTATACATTTCTCCTTTTGTCATAACTTGATTTAAATTTTTTTAATAATGGAGAAGAGAGGTAAAAGACAAAAGATAACCACACTGTATTTAAGGTACCAGAATTACCATTCTGGGTCAAATTTTTCTCAGTTAATCTTTAAAACACATATTAAATCCAATGAACTACCTATTCTCATAAAACTTAGGTATCTCTCAAAATTAAAAATTATAAATGGCCTATGGTTTTCCTGAATCAGAAAAACCTAATCTCTGATTAGAACCTCTTAATGTCACTAGTTCCCTGAATTCAGAAGGTAACAAGTCTCAATAAAAGCATCATAATTTGCCCTCAGCAGTATCTACAGAGTTGTTGTATTGTGAGTTCTTCCTACTGAGATATTTTCAGGTAGCTAAGTCATCCACCAAGATTCTGTCTGAAGAAGTCTAGATATTTAACAAAAAGAAACTACTGCCAGATAATCTTTATTTTCCTTAACAAAATACACACAAGAGCACAAAATTCACTTATAATATCATTATTTTACAAGTATAAATAATGCTCAGAATTCAAGTTACAGTCAAGTGCAGAAATATTTCCTATATGTTACTATGTAAACATAAACTAATTATAATATTATGTGCCTTTGGCCCAGCTGCAAAATAAGAGACATCAAAAAGAAACACTGCACTTGACTGTTCAATTGCATTCTTACTGAGAATTCGTACCAATGCCTACATAGTTAAAACTTTCATACTACTTAATGTAAATGCCTAAATAGACATCACCCCCGCCCCCGGCAAATATCTTGAGAGTAAAACTTCTATCCATTTTTAATGATGAACTATTAAAAATCTTGAGTTCCATTCCTTTAAACAAACACTATTAGAACTTATTCCTAACCAAAGTTCTTCCTATGTCAAAATGGATATTATTTACAGGTCACACATATAGAAAACAAGAATGCTATCATGTTTGTTTACTTTTAGAATGCAAAAGAAAATAAAATTCTAAAAGCCAGTATGGGTCTTTGTAAATTCAAAAAGATCTTACTTTACTGATATCACTTGCTTGTAGTTTTAATACCTGGTAGATACAATTTTGACATATTGAAATAGCTAGGCAATCTGAATTCAAATGATATCAAGCATATCCTTAGAGAGAAAAAAGCACCACCTAAAAAGCAATAACTGACATCAACAAAACTACAACTATCCAGTTGAAGGCATGTGGAAGCATTTACTACATTGTCATCAATGATTCTCCACTTAATTCAGGATTAGGAATAGAATCAGGAACAGCATCAGAAATAGAATCAGGAATAGAATCAGCTTTGGGAACTATTGATTTGGCTTCATTCACTGAGGTTTCCTCATTCTCAGTCTCTTCTTGCTTCTCTTCTGGTTCCTCTGTACCAGATGCTTTTTCAATCACTTCATTTGTCTGCTCTGTATTTGTTATTTTGTCCTCTGTCTGCTCTGTAGTGTTATCCAAAACATCTTGTTCTTCTAAAGATTCTGAAAAGACAAAGAGTTAAGACTTCAGGAATACAAAAATGTTAAAATTGCTAAATAAGGTATATGAATTGGTACAAAAACAGGAAAAAAACCAATTTGGGGTAAACAAATCTAAACTTGTATCTAAAGCCCCATATTTTCATAAAATTTAGGAACTTTCATAATATTTAAGAACTAGAGGCCCAGTGCACAAAATTTGTGCACTGGAGGGGGGTCCCTCAGCCCAGCCTGCGCCCTCTCATAGTCCAGGACCCCTTGGAGGATGTCCAACTGCCGGCTTAGGCCCACTCCCCTCTCACAGTCTGGGACCCCTCGCTCCTTACCACCCGCCTACTCGCTGCTCCTTACTGCTCGGCTCGCTGCTTCTTAGCGCTGCCGCGGAGGCTGGAGAGGCTCCTGCCACTGCCCCTGCACTCGCCAGCCGTGAGCCCGGCTTCTGTGGGAGCACACTGGCCACCAGGGAGCAGCTCCTGCGTTGACCGTCTGCCCCCTGGTGGTCAGTGAGCATCATAGTGACTGGTTGTTCTGGTTGTTCTGCTGTAAGGGTCGCTTAGGCTTTTATTATATAGATTTTCCTAAAGATGCATTTGAAAGTTGAATGCCCAAACAAAGCCCCAATAGAATTATGTGCTGTAAGACAACAGCCCAGCAAACAAAACAAATGTATTAAATCTCAGATTATGTTTCTTGAAGGAACTGTCTCCCTTGTGCCCAGGCAATCCTGTGGGCAGTGTGCAAATATGTACCTTCGCGTGTATGTAGGTGGTGCTATTTCCCACACTGATTTACATCTCTACTATCCAAGACCTTAGAAGTCAGGATCCACCTTTTCCAAAGGCATGACAAGTTTCCCCTCATCCCTCTATACAAGACAAATCCTCAGGATTTAAACCTCTGGGTCAGAATATGCTACATACCTACAATGGTAGGGAGAGAAAGAGAAGGGTCTTTTGTTCCTATCTCTAAAACAGAAACTAATTAAAGGTCTTGTTCCCTACTTGAAAATTTGTTCCCTTTAAACGCTCTAGTAAGTTTCATTAAATTCAAATCTCTTAATAATAATTTAATAACAACAATTTTATTATATAAAGTCTCTATAATTCTTTATGTTTAAAGAATGGAATGGGAGAGGGAATGACCAGAGCAGTTTTTATAATAAATAGCAACTAATATTTTTGCTAGGAATATAAGGTTAAACCACATCAGCTAAACAAATAAGCAGATTTTCCTACCCTCATAGAAGATCCCTTATGACATACAACAAATGTTATTGATTCAACATTTATGGAGTAAAGACCAGTCTACATCAGTAAAAAGTACTAGTTTAGTTCCTTATATAGTACAAAGTGTGTGTGTGTGTGTGTGTGTGTGTGTGTGTGATATTTTAAAACAATTATTTCTACACATATATTTTAAAGTCTAGTTTACAGAATTGTAAACTTTTTTCCAATTTTTATATATAGGATGAAGGACCAAAATTAGACAGTTAGGAACATCTGAGTTAATGAGGTCTTACTATATAAAAACTTCATATAACCACAAACAGTAGTAAGGAATGGTTCTCAAATCATATTATACCAAATGTCACAAAAATGCTATTTTTATTTCAAAAGGAACTTAAAATGGCATTGCTGCACCACTTCAAATCTTACAAAAATCCAAGGTAAAAAGCTGTAGACTGACTGAGTTTGTTATTTGAATGTTTCAGTGTACAAAAAGCAAAAGCAAACAGGGCACATAAGATTCTATGGACATGTACAGATCATTCTGCTCCCTGGGCAAGTAAGGCCTTCAGTGGAAAACTTTAGGAGTCACCAACCATTTGTAATTCTACCCTCACAAAATTTATCAATACAATTTTAAGTTATGGTTTTCCACAATACTTACTTGCCAAGAACTTTACAATTTGTTAAAATATAATAAGCCTTCTGAATCAAACAAATAAAGCCAAACAAAATGAAAAAAGTTCAGAATCCACGACTCAATTCACCAATAAACATGTTGAAGTGAACATAGGCCCACAGTTTGTCATATTCTGTCAGACAGACTGCCTCAGTACTACACAAGAGAGGTATCAAAGTCTATGGTTTATTCTGTTAAAGCTCTGTGATACAACTATTTTCAGAAACACATTACTACTCAAATCTATTTAAAATTCTTGGATTTTAAAAATGTAGTTAAACAACAGAACTACCATACTTAAAATTTTAAATGTCTATAAAGGTGAATTCTAAGAAATACCATGTGCTATTACAACTAGAAAAGGATATTATATACAAAGGATATTATATACTGTGTTGTATTTCACAGAATATATGAAAGATTAAAAATTGGTAAAATGATAGTGCTTAAAAATATTCAAAAAGCCTACTAATGACAACTTCTCCCAGGTTAATTTGCAGAAAAGTAATTTTAATAGCACTAACACTACAAAAAAACTGGCATGTGCCATGATGCCTATAATGCAGGTATTGGCTATTCTAAATGACTTAGATATTCAATGTTTGGATACCAATGCTACTTTATGAGAAGTCATCCAAAAAATATTTAAGTGAACTAGGTGAGCAAGAACAGAGAAATACTTACCAGTTTATTAACTAAACCATAGAGCTTTATAATATCATTAAGTACATTCTAAAGGTACTGACTTTATTTCTATGAGATAGTATCATTTGCCTAGTCTAATAAAACAATAAATTTTTTCTGTGAAGTTGTAATTTAATGAGATGTCAACATTTGGGCATAAAATACTAAAAGAAAAACCAGCCTTTCGGGTCACACCAGTTTAGACTAAAAATGAAACAAAATTACCTAAATGATCTAATCCCATCTATAAGAAATTTCAAAATCAACTGTTGCCCCGTCAGAGTGGCTCAGTTGGTTGAGCATCGGCCCATGTACCAAAACGCTGCCAGTTCAATTCCGAGTCAGGGCACATACCTGAACTGCTGATTTGATCCCCAGTCAGGGAGCTGAGGGAAGGCAAATGACACCCCCCGCCCCCGGCCCCCATCTCTAAGCATGTCCTTGGGTGAGGATTTATTTATTTTTTAAAAATATATTTTATTGATTTTTTACAGAGAGGAGGGGAGAGGGATAGAGAGTTAGAAACATCGATGAGAGAGAAACATTGATCACCTGCCTCCTGCACACCTCCCACTGGGTATGTGCCCGCAACCAAGGTACATGCCCTTGACCGGAATCGAACCTGGGACCCTTGAGTCCGCAGGCCGACGCTCTATCCACTGAGCCAAACCGGTTAGGGCATGGGTGAGGATTTAAAAAAAGAAAAAATGGCATTTGTAATGCCAAGAAAACAATATATTGCAATGTGATGAGACAAAAATGACCCATGAAATGTGTTCCTTTCCCCACTCCTACCCCCTGCCCCATGCCTACCCCAATAATCTTAAGAGAGAAACTTTTTCTACTGAATGTAAAAAATTGGCTTCCAGTTGTTTAGGAAAAGCCTTAACTAGACAACTCAAAATCATAAAACAGTATAATTATAAAACTAACACTACTGCCTCACCTATAAAGCACACACATGCAAAAACATATAAGAACATCAACTTACCTTTAGACTCTTAGTCTAGCTCTTGAGAGAATAATTTTCTAAGAAAATTAAAGAATAGTCTAGCAAAACAATTTCATATATTTACTTTAGAAAAATATATGAAATTTTCACAGAAAAATACATAATCCTATTTAGATTATGCCTTTAAAAACCCCTTGTGCTGAGCATCAACCTACGAACAGGAGTTTACCATTCGATTCTCTGTCAAGGCACACGTCTGGGTTGCAGGCTCAATCCCCAGTATGGTGATCAATGGTTCTCTCTCATCATTGATGTTTCTCTCTCTCTCTCTCCCCCTTTCCTTTCCTCTCTGAAATCAATATATATATATATATATAATTTTAAAACCTCGTATTTTGGTGAATTCATTTAGATTCTTTATATTTTATTCCTTTTCACAATAACAACAAATCTGCCTTGCTAACACAGCAGTACTCACTATAGACTATAAACTTGCTCATATGAAATTTATTAAATTAAAATAGACAATTTGTCTTTGAACTTGCAGGTTTTAAACAAAGAAGTTTTTACAAGATTTTTCTCTCTTAAAGAAACTGGCCAACTTATTTTAAGAAACAAAGACATGAATTTCACCCCAAACTCAACCCATGGGCTCAATGAATAAACTTCAATTAAATAATAACCACCTAGCTCATCCTATATAATAAAAGCTTAATATGCAAATTGCCCCCTCGGGTGGTGGTTTGACCGGGAGGTCAACCAGGAGACAGGGAGTTCAACTGCTCACTATGATGTGCACTGACCACCAGGGGGCGACGCGGAACATGGCGGGCATTGGCAACGCAGCACTGGCAGCGGGTGGCAGTGGAGGCACTGCCGGCCCTGATGGGCCCCGACGAGAACGGGACCACAGCAGAGTGGGACTGGGACCGTGGCGGGATAGTGGAACAGGTGAGCGGGCAGTGCCAGGCCAAGGCGGGTGCGAGCAGGGGCCTGATCGCCCTGTAGACGGTGACCAGTGGCGGCAGCGGGGGAGGGCCCGGCCACAATTGATCGCCCCACAGGAGGGATAATGGAGCAGGTGAGGGGGTGGTGCCAGGCCACAGCAGGGTGCCAGGTGGGGCTGCGAGGCTGGGGGCATGAGCTGGGGCCCGATCTCTGCAGGCCACCCTGAGGGACCCCACCCGTGCACGCATTCGTGCACCAGGCCTCTAGTGTTCAATACACAAAATACTGCTAATATACCATTGGTGAACAAATCCATTAGATGAGTAAGAATGTCATTATTAAGCAATGGTATAAAACTATTTTTTTTTTTGGTGAAGGTATTTTAGAAAAGAGAATCTGCAGGCCAAAAAAATCTCTATGAATAAAAGAAGCATGCAAACTGATACTACGGTTAAATTTACATCTTGAGTAAACTGTACATAATTAAATATATAAGTATAAGCTTTATACTGGTAGATCTAGTAAATATACAGAATTCAACAAAATTTACATTATCAAATAGTTCAATATCTTAGAGCAGTGGTCGGCAAACTCATTAGTCAACAGAGCCAAGTATCAACAGTACAACGATTGAAATTTCTTTTGAGAGCCAAATTTTTTAAACTTAAACTATATAGGTAGGTACATTGTTATGAACTTAATTAGGGTACTTCTAAGGCTTAGGAAGAGCCACACTCAAGGGGCCAAAAAGCTTCATATGGCTCGCGAGCCGTAGTTTGCCGACCACGGTCTTAGAGCATCATAACAAACAATACTACAACAGAATTTTCTCTAGATCAACAGAATCTAACAGTAACAGTATATTGCTTAAACGAAAGGAGGGGAAGAGCAGAAATCAGGATATCAAAATAAGTTTCTACGTTATATAAATTTTACTTGTTATTTTTTATAGTATTGATTAGATGCCATGAGTTTTATTAGCAAGTTATTTCCAGTTGAATAAAAGCTATTTTTTCCTAATATAATTACATAAAATCTAGACAAATACAACTGAGCAATGAAAACAATAATATTAATATTTTCAAACATGCTAGCCTAAAACCACTGTACTAGTATATTAACAATGTAAAAACTTCATCCTCTCTTACCATATGTAACAAAAAAAAAATGCTGTATGTCAGGTATTTTGGATTGCATATTTTTTAAAAGCAAAACTGATAAATCACTTTAATGTGGCTTAGCAGATTCAAGTATTACTGTACCATCCATTTAACCATAAAAGAAACTGAGGAACCTAAAAGCAATTCATTACTTTGGAATACCATACCTAGTATGCTCTTAGATACAAGGACAATCCATAGTCCTAATTTCTTGTGTTTCTTTAATATTCTATTACCGAAGCATTTTCTATAGGCAATTCTAAAAAAAAAATATCTAGGAATTCAAATGAGCAATTAATGGGAGAAGTTTCTTCTAGATCTCCTTCTTTGATAAAACTTTCCAAGATTTCATGTGTTGTTCTAAAGAGTGGCCCAAAAATTTCAAAAGCCTTGTGCCTCATCCTAAATGCAAAATCTTCCAGTAGACACAACTTAATTTCAAAGTCTCACATCATAGTTTAAGACGGTATCTTTTATTAATTCTAGATTATTCATATAAATGGTTTTAGAATATTCACTGAAAGAAAATTCAAATGGAAGAAAGTTACCTTCTCATTCCATCTGTAAATTCAATAACCGAATTTCTATAGCTTTTGCTGCTATCAAGGAGCTATTGCAATACTTAAAAAATATAAAAATTACAGCAGAAAAATTGTAGAAATCAGAAATCTAAGCCCTCAATTACATTGGCTGTCAGCATAGAGAATAGATGATTGAGATAATATGATCTTAATAGTTCAATTTAATCATAAAGATATGCCTCCGGGTTCAAAACAAATGCAGCTTCTCTGTTCATCAAAAATACTTCGTCATTTACTAAAGGAATCCAGCTTGAAATTGATAACTGTATATTATAGTGTTGAGATAGGAGTCTTGGAGAAGAGTTCAATCTTCTAGAAAGCCAAAGAAGGGTGCTCATAGCCATTTTAATGAATCCAAAGAGAAGTATAAAAGTTACTACTCTAAAGACTATCTTAAACCAAATTCAAGTGTTGCTTCAGTTTCTAGCACTATGAAGTTACTACCAGTGGTTCTCAACCTTCTGGCCCTTTAAATACAGTTCCTCATGTTGTGACCCAACCATAAAATTATTTTCGTTGCTACTTCATAACTGTCATGTTGCTACTGTTATGAATCGTAATGTAAATATCTGATATGCAGGATGGTTTTAGGCGACCCCTGTGCAAGGGTGGTTCGACTGCCAAAGGGGTCGCAACCCACACGTTGAGAACCGCTGTCCCTGCCTCAAATTTTGTCTTCACCTATTAATATTACCTTATTAGGGTTGAATATGAGCCAGTTAGACTTCACTCCAGAGATTTCAGACAGAAAATGAGACATCTGGGGTATTGCTCCTCCTAGATTAGATGAGAAGGAAAGGTATAGCTCGGTGTTGTTTGCTAACTATCTATATTGACCTTAGCAGAAAATATAAAGCATTGGGCTCATTATCAAGATTTTATTTTGTTGGCTGATTTTTCTTTTTCTTTTTGTCCCAACTACTGGCTTTCAAATATTCACTTTAGCTTTCATAAGCAAGGTTACTCATGGAAAGGACTTCAATGTTTCCTCTAGGCATCTTCAGTAAGAAAGTCTTTCATTTTTCAGTTCCAAGAGGGTGCACAATGGTGAGGCAGATGATTTTCATGTAATAATATGAAGCTCAGAGCATAACTTAAGCAAAAAAAAAATCTGATATTATGTTTGGAGTTGATGTTGCAGACTTGGAGAAGATGAATGCATTGATTCACTTTTGGAAGTAACAGACCTCTTGTCATGCCTATCTATTCAAATTCCTTTTGGTATTTGTCATTAAGCCCAAAGCCAAGCCTGAGTCAACACATGTATTTTATTATTCAAATTTTTAAAAAAGATACACAAATTTTCATAATAAACTTCTGGTATCTGAAAATTCCCTCTCATATTATTTTTAAAGCAATTTTCCCCTACTCAATGCTTTTATAAAGAAGGAAATCAAATACATGTAAATGATAATTCCTAGAAATTAAAAGGATGAATACTGATTGCTAAGTAAACGATGTGAACTAAACTTCCAATATGGATTTTTTTTTCTCTATCAGCCATAGCACCAAAATATCATGGCCTGTATCATAATTTTAGCAATCTTCAGAATTCAGAGCTGCTTAACAAACAGCTCCTCACCTCATTATTAACAGCAAGAAATAGTTGGCAATTAATAGTCAGCTCTTCCAACTCATCTTTTCCATTTTTTTTCATGAAACTTCCTCAAGAATTCCTAAAATAGAATTGCAAGATAAGGCCTAAAATCCAATGAATTCCGATGAACTCTGTTTCTCTAAAATAAGGTTGTTTACATCAAGGAATGTGTCAGCAATGTTAGTCTCATTGATCAAGATAAATTGTTTCAAAGGACTACCAGTCGTATCAACACAGTCATCTAAAGGATGCAAGGATGACTTTCCAATTCCAAGGTTTCCTGCTTGCAGTAACTTCTACTAATTCAAGTGGTAAGCACAAACTTATTTCATCAATGTTAATTGCAAATTTTAAAAAATTGTATCTTATAGTTGTTCCATAATTATCATAATCTGCTTCATTTAAATAAATTGGAAAAAAATTATTCCATAAAACATTAGTCAAATCTTCCAACAGTTATTAGAAGAGGTCACTCCATAAACAATGTTTGCCTAGCTATTGCTGGATGCTGCTTAACAAGTTATAATCTGTATATTTTAAAACTAAAACACATCATACCAATTATACAGGAGGCTACAGTATCAGAGTGATAAGTGATATATGCATGCTGCAAAATCTGATAAATCCATTCTTATTTAAAAGCATTATGCTGTTATTGTTAAATAGTAAACATTATTAAGAGACAAAACTTTTTAATTAACATATTCATACCTTCACTTATCTGGTTCTCTGATGAAATCACACTTCCTGAGGGCAAGGGGCCAATTGAACTTGAGCCATCCACAGCCTGCCTCTTCTCAAAACTAAACTCTGGCAATCTTGGAGCCTGAGGTCTGGTTTTTCTTGCAGGATTCAAGAAAAAACAGTAGGCACACCGAAAAGCTGCAGAGAATTTTAAAAAAAAATAAACAAAACCACAAACCAAAGAAAACTCAAGGACTAGTCAGATAACTCACAAGATTACTTTTGCAAATAGTCAAAGAACTCTTCAAAAGTTATTTTATCCAAAAAAAAAAAAAAGTTATTTTATCCCTAGTGAAATTACATATGGTTTTAGTAATATTACTGCAGGTGTTCTAACCAAAGCTAATTTTAAAGTGTACTTTCTAATTATTATTAGAATATTAATTTTAAATAGAAAAGATAAGTTATATAGCAGGTTAACTAATAATAGCAAAACAATATTAATAATGACCTAAGTGTATTATAGAAATTACATTTCTAGTCACCAGAGTCATTAGGTATTTTTAAATCCAGAACCTTGCTCATTTACCCAAGAAAGTGTAGTATATCATATATGAGAAACATAATTAACTTAGTATAAAGTTTTTTAATAGTGGCTGCTCATGAGAATCATCTGAGGAGCTTTAAAACCATGCTGATGCCCAGAACCCCACCCCATATCAATTAAAGCAGACTTTCTGTAGGTGGGCCCTGGGCATCATACTTTTTAAAAGCTATTCAGATGATTCTGGTACACAGTGAAGTTTGAGAACAGCTGGCCTAGAGATTGTACATTGTTGTGAGAAAAATCTGATTTGTCTTTCCTGCTTTGCTGTGTTCTAAAATAAGGACAATATCCTGAAAAATATATACAGAGACAGTACCAAAAATAAAATGACATTATATGGGAACGGGCAGAGAATGAAAAATTTGAGCGTAAAATATTTAAATCTGCCTAATCATTCTTACCAATGTATTCAAATTCTTCTTTCAAAGCCATGCCATTATGAGAAAAACACTGCTGACATATAAGGGCATACCTATACCAAAAGGAAAAATAGACTAGTTACAAATGCAAACAAAGCCCATGGGACAGGCTACTTTAGCCAACATAGTTTACTTATATTTTAACATAGCTAAATATGTCATAACAAACTAGATGTTCTTAGTAAACAATAAACAATACTCTTTAAACATAACAGTCAAAATTTCAACCATTTTAAAATATAATTTATGCATCAAATTTTAAAAAAACTAAGCAACCAGTCAAATAAATACATCTTTTTTAAGTTAGCAGAAACATTTGGTAACAGAACACTTCAGTGTTTCCTAAAGTACCTTGCTGGGGGTGATAGACTCAAAATGTGTAGTCACATAAGATTGGAAAAGATGGACCTTCTTAGAGATTCACTATGAGAAGTCTTATAGTAAAGAAATTAATTTTATTTAGTTCAATCCAAAGGTTAATTTCTGTACACCATAATTCCTGTATTTATCCTACTTACACTTAAACATCTTCCTCACTTTCTATTTATAGACTCATTCTATTCTCTGTGTATGTACTTAACAAAATATTTGGCCCTATTAAATGACATTCTGTTTTGAATAACATATAATTTATTATGTTAACTTTATCTAGTCCCTTTATTAAATTGATAACATTAACCAATAACCTTATCAAATATCTACTCTACTATCCTAAAAATAATTCTTAAGTCTATACTATGACAATTGCTATATCATAACTCTCTTCCTAAAATTATTGTAAGGATCAAATAAAATAACAATTGAAAGAACATTCTGAAAACTGTAAGTGCCAAATACATATAAATTGTCCTCACTGTTATTAAAATTATCACTATCGCCAAGTCTAGTACTGACATCTATAAAATTCCATTTCTTATAACCTATCAAGTTTTCACTATTTGTATTTTAAGTTTTAGTGAAAAGAATCAATTTCTCTAAAAATAACTGTAGAGTAGGATTATAATATAGTAGGGCTGCAATGTATATATATATATATTTTTTTCAGTATTTTACCTCCATACTTTATCCAAACTCCTACTGAAAAAAACAACTGAATGCATACTCCTTTGCAGGGCTATGAAATATTCCATTATGTTTTAAAATAAAGAAACAGGAGCCACAAAACTACAGAAATCTAGTACATGCACACACAACATACACACCATGACCAATAAACGTTTTCTTCATTTTCATTTTTTTGCCACCCTAGTAAACATTACCTGTTTTGTGGACCATCACCAACTAAATATTCAACAACTCTATCCAAAGCACTTCGTTCTCGGGGGAGAATGGGTCTAGCTAAAGGTGGACCCGGAGGATGAAGACCTAGTATATAAATAAACACATAAAAATTATATGTATAAAATACATATAAATTTTAATTCAGTTTACCAAGAACTACCTATGCTTTTCAGAATTTAAATTTTAACGAAACAAAATAACATTGAATATTATAAATCTCTGTAAAGCATTCAACATACATAATCTATTAAGACATGAAATGATGTTAGGTTCTGTACAAACTAATTTTTAAAATGGCCAGACTCAAAAGTGTATGTAATAATAAATTACAGAATTCCACTTTGGACCATAATAGTCACAGGGGGTCACATTTACCTTCCCAACTAAAATACTGTGCAAAATATATGATGCAACAGTTTTAAAGACACTGGCTATCAGGCAATGTAGGATAAAGATTTCTGACAGACAAAAAGCAAATAAGATGAGCCCTACAATTGCCCCAGCTTGTTGTCTAGAAAGAATTTCCAGGCAACAACTCAGGGAGGGTAATCCCAGGTGAAGTCTCCCTGAGATGAGGAGATAAAGCTGAAACTCTGGGGAAGCCAAAGCAGCTTGAGTTCACAGGAAAGAGTAGAAGAGAATGCACAGAGCAAAGATCTACAGACTATTCAACAGAATACTGATTGGCACATGCATATGAGGAAACTACCTGAGGACAGAGAAAACTGCTCCAAAGTATTTAAAGGTAACAGTAGCTCACACAGGGCCAAAAATGTTGCATGTTTCCACCAGTCAGAGTGGAAAACTTCATAACTCACAGGTCACTGATCAAGTATTCAGAGGAGTTTTGTATAGGAATATAGAAATATCCCACAACCAAACAAGCAGAAAAATGCAACCCATCATGAGAAAAATCAATCAAAAATGACCTTGAAATGACAGAGATAATAGGATGCATAGACAAATATGTTTAAACAGTTATGACTACATTCCATATGCTTAAGAATCTAGAGGAGCCATTCAATGTTAAGTAGAGGCACGGAAAAAATTTAAAAGACCCAAACTGAACTTCTGCAGATGAAAACTACAATGTCTAGGATGAAAAATCCAGACATGGGATGAATAACAGTTTGCACATTACAGGGAAAAAAAATTAGTAATTATAAAGATATAGCAATTGAAACCATACAAAACACAGACTAAAAATATTTTTAAATGAAAAAATCATCAGTGAGCTATAGAACCTCAAGCAGTCTACTCTAACATACATATAACTGGAGTCCAGAAGAAGAGAAAAAAGGAAAAGAAAGTAATATTTGAATAAATAATGCACCCAACTTTTCCAACTTTGATGAAAACTATAAACCCATAGATACAAAAATATCAACAAACCTTAAGCACAAGAAGCATAATTTTGCAACAGGACACAACATATTCAAATTGTGTAAAACTAATGATAAAGAGAACACCTTAAAAGCAGTCAGAAAAAGATACATTATGTACAGAGAAACAGAGATAGGAATGACAGCACATTTCTTATCAGAAAAATAAGCAAGCCAGAAGACAACGAAACAATATGTTAGAAATTCTGAGGGAAAACTATCAAATTAAAATTCCATATTAGTGAAAAAAGTCTTTTAAAAATGAAGGCAAAGATGAAGACTTTTTCAGACATACAAACTGAAAAAATTCATCACTAGAACAATTTCATTACAAGAAATGTTAAAAGAAGTCCTTCAAGCAGAAGGAAAACGACACCAGATGAAAAACTGGATCCAAAGAAAAGAGGAGTACCAGAAATGGTTACCATGTGGGTAAAAATACAAAACAACTACTTTTTAAATATTTTAAAAGATAATTGATGGTATAAAGGAAAAAATTATTTGTTAAAAATTATGTTTTTATTGATCTCAGAGAGGGGAAGCAAGAGAAAGGAGATAGAAACATCGATGAGAGAGGAACATTAATCGGCTGCCTGCTGCAAGCCCCCCTACCAAGAAAGGAACAGTGAGCTCCTGGTCAATGCTCAACCACTGAGCAGGGCAGGAAAAAAATAATTTGTTGTGGGATTTATAACATATGTAGAAACGAAATGTATGACAACAACAGCACAAAGGCTAGGAAAGGAAAAATCTAAGTATACTGTTGTTAGAGTCTTAAACTATATATGAACTGGTACCCTATCATGTGTAGATAAATTTTGATAAATCAAAGATATATACTGTAAAACCCAAAACATCTCATTGATGTTTCTCTCTCTCTCTCTCTCTCTCTCTCTCTCCCTCCCTCCCTCCCTCTAGCTTCCTCTCTCTGAGATCAATAAAAACATATTTTTTTAAAAATTAATTTTTTCCTTTATACCATCAATTATCTTTTAAAAGATTTTAAAAGTAGAAGTTTTATATTTTTACCCATATGGTAATAATCATTTCTGGTACTCCTCTTTTTTTGGATCCAGCTTTTCATCTGGTGTCATTTTCCTTCTGCTTGAAGGACTTCTTTTAACATTTCTTGTAATGAAATTGTTCTAGTGATGAATTTTTTCAGATTGTATGTCTGAAAAAGTCTTCATCTTTGCCTTCATTTTTAAAAGACTTTTTTTCACTAATATGGAATTCTAATACTAAAATTATACACAAAAGCAATATAGCTAATCAGGCAACAAAATGTATAAAATGGAATCATAAAAAAAAATAATCCAGCCTAACTAGTATGGCTCAGTGGTTGAATGTGGACCTATGAACCAGGAGGTCAGGGTTCAATTCACAGTCAGGGCACATGCCCGGGCTGAGAGCTCGGTCCCCAGTAGGGGTTGTGCAGAAAGCAGCTGATCAATGATTCTTTCTCATCATTGATGTTTCTATCTCTCTCTCCCTCTCCCTTTCTCTCTGAAACCAATAAAATAAAATTAATTTTTAAAAATATTAATAATCCAAAAGAAGGCAGAACATAAGAAAGGTCGCAGAACAGATAGGACAAATAGGAAAAAAAATAGCACAATAGAACATTTAACTCAAACCTATACATACCAATTATTATATCAAATGTATGTGGCCTGAACATCCTCATTCTGAGGCAATGATTGACAGAATGAACAAGAAAGCAAGAACCAACATAAGCTACTTACAAAAAAAAGACATTTTATATATAAAGACCAAATAAGTTAAAAGTAAATGATAGAAAAACATACATTTACACACATACATATATTAACATCAATAAAAAAATCTATAGTAGCTGTATTAATATCAAGCACAGTAGATTTTCGAACAAAGAATATTCTCAGGGATAAAATAAAAGAGTAATTTCATAATCACAAAAAAGTCAATTCATCAAGTGGGCATAGCAATCCTAAATATATATGTGCATCATAACAGAGCTTTAAAACACATAAAGCAAAAACTCATAGAACTATGAAAAGAAATAAACATATACACAATTATAGTTGGAGATTTCAACAGCCTTCTCTCAAAAGCTGGCAGGTCAGCAAATCATTTAGTGTTGATAAAGAACAACATTATCTACTACCAACTTGACCTAGTTGACATTTATAGCCACTCTACCCAACAGGAACAGCATATAGTCATTAATTGCTTAATGACGGGGATATGTTCTGAAAAATGCATCATTAGGCAATTTCATCATTGTGCAAATATCAAATTTGCACTTATACAAACCTAGATAGTATATAACCTACTATACACCTGAGCCATATGGTATAATGCTGCCTATCGATCCCAGGTTACAAACCTGTACAGCACATTACTGTACTGGACACCGTAAGTGATTACAACACAACTAGAGGTCCGGTGTACAAAATTCATGCGGGGCGGGGGGAGGGGGGGGGGGAAGTCCCTCAGCCCGGCCTGCGTCCTCTTGAAATCCGGGACCCTTGGGGGATGTCGGGGCTAAACCAGCAGTCGGACATCCAGGAGACTGCATGCACCAATGACCATACTTTTCATCCAGGTGAAAGGCATCTTGCTATTGTATGGGCAACTATATTTTTTTGCCCTGATTATGAAAAGTAGTACATAACATGATCCTTCTGAGGCAGTAGTACCATTTCCCTCATCTTATGGGTGGAAAAACTGAAGCAGAGAGAAGTTAAGAAGTTAAGTAATTGGCTTTGTCACACAGTTACAAGTGGCAGAATCAGGGATGACCACAAAATGTGCAAGCCAGAGTCCATGCATGTCATCGCTGCATCATCCTGTTTTTTCAGTTAGAGTAGCTTTGCCAGGTTTTAATTTTTACATCTAAGAAACTGTTCCCAATATATAGGATAGGGTCCCTAGGCCTGGCTGGCAATCAGGGCCATCTGTAGCGCAACCGGCAGGAGGGACAATTGGGGGCCCCCATTGGTACCCGCCATGGCTGGTGGCCTGGCACCGTCTGCTGGCCAGCCCCGCCCCCCCCCCCCCCCCCATCGCCACAGCTGGTCGCCTCCCTCTGTGGTGAAGGGGAAGATGCTCAACATAGCACATTCAGTCAATTTGCATATTAGGGTTTTATTATATAGGATGGTATTTGTGTATCCAAACACAGAAAGATTAAAAATGGTACACTTGTATAGGGCACTTACCATGAATGGAGCTTGCAGAACTGGAAGTTGTTCTGGGTGAGTCAGTGAGTAAATGGTAAGTGAATGTGAAGGCCCAAGACAGTGATGGCGAACCTATGACACGCGTACTCATTTTTTTGGTTTATTTTTCTTTGTTAAATGGCATTTAAATATATAAAATAAATATCAAAAATATAAATCTTTGTTTTACTATGGCTGCAAATATCAAAAAATTTCTATATGTGACACGGCACCAGAGTTAAGTTAGGGTTTTTCAAAATGCTGACATGCCGAGCTCAAAAGGTTCACCATCACTGGCCTAAGATATTGCTACACATTACTATAGGCTTTATAAATAATGTTCCACAAGCCCTCCCCCTGCTTTCTTCCAACAGGGTCAGAAATTGACCACTGAAGCTGTCAATGTTTCTCCATGATCAGGGATATGGGCTGGACTAATTAGAAACATTGAAGAGAAACTGTCTAGATAAGGCATAGATCAGCATAGTAGTGACTGTTA